CAATTTAGTACAGTTTTCGTCCACGTTGAGTTATAATATTATTTAAAAAGGATGCGCCCGGTCATAACCGTGACACTAAATAACCATATCTGTCTGTTAAATTTCTTTATGCCTAATTTTACTGCATTAGTATTGTTAAGCTATCGTAAAATGGGGAAACGGTCAAGGTGGAGGGTTTAAATTTATTGTACTTAATGAAGGGATGTTACGATATTTTTGAGATATAGTTTTAGTCGTAAAACTTTCTACATTTATTGCAAAATCGGACGCGACTTTTAATATACTTTGTGTCGGCGAACATAATGACTTAATACATCCCCAAACCGTTTGTAGGGATAAAATTTATACTGAAGTGGTATGTTGTAATTATTTACGTCATCCTTTTACTAAGGTGTAGGAAAAAGAAGTAACTATAAAAAAAAGTCAAATTATATCACGTTGTCCCGTGGAAGAAGTTCCTTCAAAAACTGACCAACAAATGTGACGCCCATAAGAAATAAGAAAGTAGTTAGCCTGTATGGTTTCTACAGCTACATCTCGTTACGACGTATCCAATGGTGAGCCACGACTTTAACCACCCTGTACATATTTCGATGCCCACAATTTGTATTTCTGTTATTACTCCTAGAAGAGATAGAAAGTATGTTCCCTCTTGAAATATTGGTAGAACAGCTCCATCAAGTTAGCCCCCGCAATTAAAAAAAAATGTGTAATGACCATTTTTATATAGTGCTATGGTTGTGCCAAATTGTACTGATTTGATTTTAATTTGTGCTGATCTGGAAAATCAATTTTTTTTAATTGAAACGCGGGGGCCAATTTGACTCCCAGCCCCCCGGTTTTTTAACGTACAAATTCCATTACTACTTTAACGAGTTGTGCTCGATGCATATTGGATTATGCCGGTCAATTATTTGAAAATAGTCTTCCGCTACATGGTAGTTCCTGCACTCAAATCTCGGGGGCCAACTTGACTACTAGCCCCCACGTGTTTTACTAATATGGAATTCTAAATAAGGTCAATCAATTATGCTCACTGCATATTGGACTGTGCCGTTCAAATATTCGACAATAGTTTTAGGGTACACGGTAGTTCATGCGTTTAAATCTCGGGGGCCAATTTGACTCTCAATTTCGGGGGCTCCCCGGTTTTTTACTAACGTGGTTTTTTCCAACACGTGCAAATTCCAATACTACCGTGAACCGGAAGACTATTTTCGAATATTTGACCGGCATAATCCAATATGCATCGAGCACAACTCGTTAAAGTAGTAATGGAATTTGTACGTTAAAAAAACCTGGGGGCTGGGCGTCAAATTGGCCCCCGCGTTTCAATTAAAAAAAATTGATTTTTCAGATCAGCACAAATTAAAATCGAATCAGCACAATTTAGCACAACCGTCAATGTCATTACACATTTTTCTTTTAATTGCGGGGGCTAACTTGATGGAGCTTGGTAGAACTGTTCCGTAATATTCGCTGCGAGACACTCGCAAACCTTTCGAAAGAAATTCAAAAATCCACGATCAGAAGAAAATCGCTCTTGGAGTAGCTATAATGTACTTCCTCGGCAGGTGGAATTAGGGTGTTCCGGATCTCGCAAGCGAATTTATTGTGGAGAACTAACGTGCTCCCAATATTCTTGGGAATTAGAGTGACGAATTTTACGGAGGTGAATGTTTTGAAGGCTGAAGATTTGCCCAGGAGCAAGTTTTCTTGGGAGGGAATATTCCGGGCATAATTTTACTGAGTTTAGTTTATTGGCGGTAGTTTACAAAATGGGTGCATTCGTTTTCCCAAGAAATATTCGTGTCAATGAAAGTCTTTCTCGTGAAATCCTGGGAAAACGCTCCGATTTTGAAGATTTTTTTAAATGTTTGTTTTTTATATTTTTTAATTAAAATTGAAAATCGTTTAGTAGAGAGAAATAATAATTTATATTGTTTAAACAATATTTATGGTACTTATACAGAAAAATCAGTGTTGTGTGATATAATATAATATATAGGTAAGTATAATTCTACAATATCTCGAGAAGAATGATGTTGGCGCAAAGAAAATTATTTAAAACCAATTAAAAGACGCAACCTGCAGCATCCAATACTGTTTTAAAATTATATTTTTCTCTTGCAAAACAGGGGCTCTTTCCCTGTCTCTTCATTTCCGCATCTGAATCTGGCTATGGTTTTTATATTTTTCCTTGATCCCCATACATATTTTGGTAGCCACTCCCTTATTAGCTCGTGATACCCACTACTACTGCGTCCGCTCTATATCTTCATCCTCTATTGTTGTATTTGTGCATCTAGATCCCTTTTTGCCAGCTCACTTTCTATCTTTTCTCCTACTCCTTTCGACCTCAGCACGTCCGTATCCATTTCTTTCGTAATATTTTTGTCTTCCCACATTCTTTTTGTGTTCATCCTAGTTGTCAAGCATTCCTTCACCAATTCGCTTTCTCTATCACCCCTTCCCTTGAACCTTACTGCTCTGCACCCCGATGCTATCCTTACCTTTGCCATTTCTGTTTCTTTCTTTAATATAGAACTTGGTGTCTTTCCGTTAAACCCTACTAATACCCAGCTTTTTTGTACTTTTTCCAGTTCCTCCCATTCCTTCCACCCCCATATCTACCTTCCGTACATGAGCACCCCTCCCTCCATTGCATCGAATAGGTACTAAATCTATCTGCGCATTTGGCCCATTGTTTCTTTGCATCTAGTATCCTAAGTATTTAATTTCTTTCTAAGCAACAACTTCAGGAGCCTTTGATATCTAGAGGCGGGAAATTAGGGAATTTAGTTAATTAATAATTAATATGGATAATTGTGACAATATGGTGGATATGGAAACTAACCATAGTATAAAAAATGATATTCATAAATCATAATAAGATACTCAAAAGAATGAAATAGTAAAAGTTAAAGCGCATCATAATATTTTTTTATTTTGGTTTTGTGAATACAACTAATTTAAGATGTGATGTCTGCTTTCTACTTACGTAATCTCCACAGCGTTGGCCTGCCGAGACCTTGGACTGTAAATAGATCGGGGTTGTCATTACCTATCGTCCTATCACTTTAAATATTTAGTCTTAGTCTATTATCACGTTTCGTTGTTACCGGGTGTGTGGTATTACTATAATCAAGAACTGTGCGATTTAACAATCGTCCGACTATAATATTTCACTAAAACACAGGTGAGTTTTATTTTAGTTAATTATACTCCAATGAAATCTAGAAAAATAATAAAGGCACTTGAGTAACTTGAGGGCGTCTTATGATCAAATTTAGCTTAACTTGAGAGGAACGCGAAGTTAATTTGAGGAGAACTCAAAAGGGATTTGAAAGGAGAATTTAGTGGAAAATTGATGGAATTCCAGGAACTTTAGGGAGGAACCTGATAGGAACAATTAACTTTAGGGAAACTTGATGTGGCTTTGAGTGAAAATTTGATGGGTATTTTGGGGAAGCTCAAAAGGACTTCAGAACTTGAAATTGAGAGCGACTTATAAGACAATTGTTGGAAGGGGAGGTATGGAAGGCATTTCAGGAAAATTAAAAAAGAATTTGAGAGGAAAACTTTATAGGAACTTGAGGGAGCCTTATTAGGAAATTAAGAATAGCTGAAATTTTAGAAAACATGAATTTAATCATATTTTCTATAGAGATAAATACAAATCTGTCCAATCGTAGCAAACTTGGTCCAATCTTAATACCCAATTTAGAACAATGGATTTATTTTTATATAGAGGAGATGTTTAGATTTTAGATTCTATTAAATTATTTCTGAACGGTTTCGTATCACCCTTCGCCTAAACTTAACAAAAAACGAATTGAAAAGGGTTAAAAATGTTAACTCATCCCCAAATCAATTACGTTCCTTTTTCTTTGAGCAAATCCGATATTCGCCCGAAATGGTTTTTTAATTTAATTATCATCGGGGGCACCTGTTTTATTTGATTTCTAACTAATGTTAATGCGATGATGAACAAGAAGTTAGGAAGGGAATTTCCCAGTGTGAATTATGTATGCGATTCAATCGACGGGTGGAACCTTGAACATTATAATAAGAAGCAACAAATCATGTTCATGTACTTAGTATGCTCTCGCGGTACATGCTTGGATTTTTTAATTAGGCAAATTGCTTTAGCGGTGGTATGATTCACGTAAGTGATGATTGTACTGTTAGGATTTGCATCTATTTGCATTTTAAGGTCGTCTTGTTAAGGTACACAATGTGCACGAAAATATCAGCATTATAACAATGAATCACGCTCGACGCTACAAAACGTTGATAGCTTTCGTTGCTTGCATGCAGGTGGAAACTATCGGAAAAGATCATTGCAAATTCGCATTTAATATCATCCCATACTTTCTTAACCAAAATATTTGCAAAACAGGTGCTGGTTCTCCATAGAATTTGATACAGGAAGACTGCCTACGAGTCAAAATGGTTTTCACTTAAAGGTTCTAATACCATTGACTACTTGCGTCAAAGTAGATCCCTTTGTAAAAATTGGGAGACAGGTAGAATCGTTTAAGTATAAATTATGTACAAGAATTTGTGGAATTTTGAATTCGAATATTATACCTCCACGCCTTATTGTACAGAAATCGTACCATGAACAAGGCATATGACAAATGGACAACGCGCATTATGAAATATAAAAGAGTTTTTAATCGCCCTCATTTATTTTGTTAAAATAGGTCACGTTTAAAAAATGACCCCTATTAATGAGTGTAACTTATACCCTATTTTAATATTGGGGTAGTCGCTTTAGACAAAAGGGCCCAGTTTAACAGTTACAAGGTGACACATGTTACATTCACAATGGTCCAAACGGGTTTTCTTTTTAGGACATTTTTTCTTATTTTTTTCGCTCTTGTAAAATTTATGGTGTGAATTGTACGCCGCCGGTTCAGGCCAGCGAAATTACCCTGTCATTATGCGAAATGGAAATTTCGATTCAGTACGTGATCGTATTTCTCTTGTTTCAGATTCATATAAAATCCTCTTTAATAATGAATGGCGTTTGCGTACGGTGGAGAGGGTGGATCGATTTAGAGCGTCTGGATGGCGTCGGTTGTTTGGAATATTGCGAAGATAGGGCAGCTGCCGAGGACGCCTTATTGAGGGAACAAATTGAACGCTACAACCAAAGATTAAGGGAGTTCGAGGACAAACAGCGAGGTTACCGTTCCCAGGATCGAATTGATCAGGATCTTGAGGTATTCAATTCATATTATATTTCTAATTCGATTTTTTTTAACAATATTGTAAATTTATTACAAATCAATAACGCTCAGGCTTATACTAAAATGAACACCTATTACAAGCTTTTAAATTTACATTTAGATATTTAAACTATACACTTATAGAGAGTGCACCAATTGTGAAAATCTTAGCCTAAAATTATACGCCCGGGTATCGAAATACCAAATTTGTGACTATATACAATTATTGTGTACCGCTTTTTGTCGTAAGTAATATATAATGTAACTTTGGTGTTGATATAGTTTTCGAGTTATTACAATTATGTATTGCATGTAGCCAACTTCGCGCGTATATTCAGTGCTCTATAATTAGGTATACAGGGTGAAAATTTAGTCTGGAAAACTGAATATTATTTTCAAAACAAAATTTTCTTTAAATAAAGGTTTTGTGGTATCCAAAATTACAAAAATTTTGCTACCAATCTACGTACTTTAGATTTACAGCCCGTGGCGTACTTCTGCATGGTGAAAGGGGGCATATTTTTTAAAATAGCAACCATTAGTTGTTTATATACCTATATATTTTTAAAGAGTACACTTTTTTGGATATAGCAGTATAAACAACTTATTATATTATCAAATTTAAGAGAAAAATTCAAATTAAGGAAATAGTTATGTTAATAAAATTCATAATTTTACTAGTTTGGTAATTTTTTTATGTTTTCATATTTAAAAAAACGTTCATTCTTTAATAACACCCTACGAAGAATAATATTTTCGGGTTTTCCATTAAAAAAGTGACCCTCTTAGTTCTGTAGAGGCCTCTGTAGACACAAGCCCTTATAAATAATTTTTAAGCGATTCACTTAGCTTTTTTGATGATTTTTGATACATTAATACAGAATACATGCTTTCACGTATCTAACAAAAGATTAACGTTTTTTTTCAACACAAACTAGTGAAATTATTAATTTAATTAACACAACTATTTTCCCTAATTTCAGTTTTTCTTTGATTCTTTGATTATCCAAAAGAGTGTACCCTTTAAGAAAATGTAATGAAACCTAGTAGTTACCCTAAACTACAACGACATAATGATATACAAAGAATGTGAGTTGATTAAAATTAAAATTAAAAATTAAATTAATGTTGAATGACCGACTCATATATGGTCATTAACGATGTAGGCACATTTTACATAAAAAATAGCAATAGGGTGGTTAACAACCAAGACACATTTTACATAAATAATGTTACCACATCTTAAAAGGGAGACTCGTTCTTCGGCAACTCGAAGTAGGTAATATTGCGGTCCTTGATCATGGATCTACCAACTACCCAATTTGACGATATTTTAATAGATGAAGCTTACTAGTTTGTCTAATATTACTCAAGTGTTAACGATAACTGTTTCGGTGCAGATAATATATCCGGGAAAGGAACCCAGTCACTGTGTTCCCATATAAATACAATAGATAAAAGATGATGTAATAATCAATTTCGAATTTGCTAGGAATATGTGAAATAAACTAACAAAGATTAAGGTTACCAAAATCCCATTCACGTAAATACGAGAAAAATGTTTTTTTTTCAATTTCGATTTCCAAAATGGCCCTCCTTCGTAGGATAGATAGAAAAAATTGTTTAGTACAAAGTTTGTAGTAGATGGTGTAGGGTTTTATAAATGTTTTACTTTCAAAAATCGATGGGGTGGTTATCGAAAAATAATTTTTTTTTAATTTTTGGTCGATCGCTATTTTACTATTTGAAAAACTATGAAATAGTTATAAATATTTTAGAGAGTTGAAGGATAGTTTTGAAAATTTTTGTCCCTATGAAATAAGGGAGTTATGACGATTTTTCGGAAAACAAAAAAACGTCAATAATTTCGAAGCGGGGCACCAAATCAAAAAGTGGAACTAAGAAAAGTTGTTTGTTTTAATGAGTTCTAACTGCCGTTTTCGGGTGTAACGACTTAGTATTAACACTCTGTGTATAATGTAGACCAGGTATGAGCAATATATAATTTTTTATTTGTTGCAACAATGTGATGTCATAAAACATAAGCAGTTTTGTCTTCTTAACAAAGTAAGAATGGATGCAGCAGATTTTTGACAATAAATGCATTGTTTAGATATTATCATCTATTTATTTCCAAAAATATGCTGCATCCATGCCTACTTTGATAAGGCCACAAAACTGCCAATAAATTTGTTATTTACGTTCCGATTTCAAACGAATAGGTTATTTTAAGGATAGGGTGCTATTAAAAATTTGTGGGGTTTAGTGGTCTAGATATTTTTACTGCCGTCCTAAAGTGACAAAAACCCAGCGAAAATTTTATTCCTATTTTTATTTACAACTCGGCCAAATCAGTCTGGGACATTCGGTATACTACTCTGTACGATGGGAAACGGTCATTAAACCATCCACAAGCACCAGTCCAGCGAGCCCATGTAAACACAGACACTAACAAAATATAAGAAATAATAATTTTCAGGGCACGTTCAGCACCCGCGACATTAATTTTATTAAATTTGAGGAAACTCAGCAGCCTTGATCAACTCCACAATTAAAAGATGTATATTACATACAGAAAAAGCATGAGAACTCTTATATAGGTCGTAATATAGGCTCGATTAAACACAACATACAACATTTACAGATGAAACAAATTTATTCGATATAAATCAATCAAATACGCTGATTGGAAAAAAAGGCCAGAATACACGTACACCGCCACCCGCGATCGATTGAAACAATTAATTAAAGAAATATTAATGATCTTAAAGTGTTAATAATCCAAAATAAACAGTCAAACTACGAACAGAATGCACAAACACAAGATAGGGAAACTCGTATACCATTTTCAGTAGGGGAATTTTTTGGCACTCAGCTCCGATTCGGAAAGTCTGGTTCATATTCAATAGAAACCGATCTTTGAACTCGGTTAAATCGATTGGCGAAGGTTTCACCTTGTTGTCTCATTTCGTTCTCGAGTTAGACGAGGAACAAAACCATCCCATTTCCTAAAATTCCCCTAAAAAGCAACTGATGTAGCTTCTCGAACTGCGATTCTATGGCTGCACTTGATTCTCAATTTAGACGACATGGGGTTCGTTGTAATTAATGATTTATGTAGATTTGGATCTTTGATGGTGGAAAAAACCCTTTAATGGGTACTTAGAAAGGCTTATAAGCGAAAAATGCTCGATAAACACAACGCTCCAAATAACCAAAAATATGCGCAACTACCGCTGACTGCGATACACCAAAAACCTGCACCACCAAAAAAGCAGCGATTCATGTCTTGCTTTGATATTTAAAAGCCGATACCCTTCTTTTCAACTTTCCCAACCATCTCCTCCTTCTTATCAAAATTGTTATTTCGCGGTATTAGTCTGGGCAAAATAACATTTTCTACAAATAACCTGCACGTTAAGTTTAACGTTGGAGATACATCACAGGGTGTTCCTAAATGTGATGTAAATACGGAAGGGGCTAATTGTTTGGCTTATTTTATGACTAAAAGTTCACATAAACATAGGTCCGCGAACGCTTCATTACCTATCTACAGGGTGTTGTAGTTCTACCGTACACTTCACAATTTAAACCTTTCATTCGTCAACATATGCAAACACAAGGACAATTTACGTAAAATGTAATATCACGGATACGAAAAAACTGCAACATTCCAACAAGTTTCTAAACAAATCAGAAAAATTAAATCTCTGTTTCATAATGTCCCACTGGCTCACCGAAAAAAAGTTCAGGGGTAGAAAATGGAACAGGGCCCCCGAAAAAACAACACCCTTTAGATTCTCACTACCATTGACATGACCAATGACGTAAGCCCTTCAACGTAACTTATATTTCAAATTTGAGCAACATACCTCAAAAACTGACAAAGAAATTCCTGAAAATCTTAAAATTATGACATCCTGCAGGTCGGTAACAATGCGTTTGCGCACTTATGTTTATAATGAACTCTTAGTCATAAAATCAGCCAAAGGATTAGTCCGTTCCGTATTTACACCATATTTAGAAACACCCATAGCTGATGATGAGTGGACACATCAATAGAGATTGTAAATCTTTTGTTAATGACAATAACCTGAAAAAGATTTATATGTGTTTAACACTGAACTGTTTCGCACAATTTTGTGATTATCGTATCCACTTTTGGTATAGAAAACTATAAAATAAAAACATTGTTTCCTATGCAATGCAATAAAAAAATGGAAAAGGAAGCATCAAGCATTTAGAATATTTACAAAGATGTAGAAGGAAGTGATCCGCAAAGAAAGATGTTTACCAAACGTCAAAATCTATACTTAACAATCTCGAACAAACATAATGTCAGTTAAAATCAATCAACAATACTATAAGCTTATTATTCAAAGAGCCAGGTCAGACATATGCTAACAGCGTAAAATATTGTAACAAAACGTGCCCAAACTTGAATCGCCGTAGGGGGCATCATAAACACAAATACGGGGCCCCCTTTTTTTGATTTTTCACTTCGGCACCTTTTCATATGTCAATGCGTCTCCCCGTCGTGCGTTATATTGTTGACGCGACTAGAAACTGTCTGAAAGTAGGGAAATTTGCGTCCCGTCGCGGACCCACCCTTCGAAATGTTTAATAAGGGTAACATAAAATTTACTTCTAATGCGACAAATTCTATTTTCATAAAAAAAGCTTCGGCTCTCAATAAAGAGCGTTATTGAATCCTTAATAACGGGGGCATTTTCTTTCAACCCTTCGCTTTAATATAGACGAATTACTGTAAGCAAAGGGAGCTGATAATGGCATTCCGAGGGGCCGATCCAATAAAATAATTTAATTGAAATCAAAATATATCGGGAGGAGAACGAATGTAAAATGCGAACCCCTCGATGTTTTAAAATTAAAATTCTTAAGCGTTTGAATAATTTTCTGGTTTGTTTTCCGTTAAATAATTTAAGGCCGTGTAGATACGAACAGGTGCGTTCGAAATCGGATTAACGAAAAGA